AGGGAACTTACAGTCATTTATCTATAACATCTATACTCCACTAACTATGTGGATAAATTGGTTAAAAAAGAATAAGAGAACTTACAGTCATCCATCTACATCTCAATGCTACATCTCGAACAGTCTTGTCTTTTAACTGCATTGCAATTTTAGCATACCTAGATATGTTGCTTTCTGTTGCATATCTGCAAAAGTAAAATTCCTGTCATCATTTAACAGTTCATTTCAATAGGAAGCAAATCAGAAGTTAACCATGACACAGATATTAAGAATGCACAATTGGCGTAAGTGATGCTGCTTGACAATGCATGCAGCAAATTGAAACAAATACTGATCAACCAACAGAAAGAATTGTCGTACTGGGCTAAATGCATGGTTCAGTTAACCATATCTAGGACATTCATATATTTATAATAATTTATAAGGCTTTATCAAAATCTTTAAACAGGAAAAACAAAGTACCAGATGATATTTGCTCATCTACATAGAGCGTAGTTTGTATTGAACTCTAATCACGCAACACACATTGTAATGGAGCAACTAAATTATATTGAATTACAGAATCAAACACACAGAGAGCAGTAAGGAAGTTGCAACTAGAACAGTAACAAGGAAACTGGAAAGAAGAGGGGAAGAGAGGGACAGATAGAGAGAAAGGGGAAGAAGCACAGAGACTACTCAATATAATTGCCTCACATGCTCCTAACCTGGGTCCCATACATCATTTGCTAACTTTCAAATGTGTTCTTCATCATGGCCTCTTGGCCAATTTCATTACCCCGCCTCAAAAAGAACCTTACCCTCGTGGTTCGAATAGAGCAATATTAAGCAGGAAAGAGAAACACTCTCAAAAAATATTTCTGTCACTTGCCGCTCCATCACTTGCTTTCTCTTGTCTCTCCTTCAAGAAGTGGAACATACTCCTTCAGATTTAAGAAAAAGTCAAGATCATTAAATTCTGTCCGGGAATCAACAAATAAAAATGCGTTTTTAGCACTTCACTGGGATGATAATCCTTCAATTGAGAACTTCCATCATTCAGCAACTTAGTTGACACTTCTATGCTAAAGGCATGGGAGATACAGGAATTCCATTTGGAAGATAAATCAGCAGTACTTTGCTCTCCACTCTATTTGATTCTTGTGGACTATCACAAGAGAAAAGAAAGCCGGACACAAGCATCCTGTTGACTGAAGTTCAAGCATATGTCAATGTTTTAAGCATCTATCTGACCCATAAGGTAAAGAAACATAAGTCTTCCCAACACTTGACTTCTCTTCTTCCACGAAATGCCAGTCAAAGTGTAAACCATCAGACATGGAGGAAGATTGTGGCTCCAACTCAAGTAGGATTTCCTTAATACACAAGTGCACTGACCTTATATTTCCATTCTCAAAAATTAGACTCACAGGCAATTATCAGAGAGAATTATCCACAGCCCACAGGAATGAGTTCATGGGGAACAACCAATTCGTCGAAGGTCCTGAATTCCAGGCTTCCCTCAATATAGGGTCGCATGTATCCTATTGATATTTACTTTTGCTGCAGAAAGGGATTCACAAAAAGAATAAAGGTATGAAACAAATAATTACAACTCATACAAATAATTGGCTTCCTATTGGATCATCATTGTCTATGCCCTGATGGATCACCAAATTTTTCTCAAGTTTAATAATATGCATATCAAATCCATCTCAAAACTGAAATTCAAGCACAAACCTTAACCTTTGTGAAAGACTCCAGAGTTCTGTCTAGGATGTCAACGGTCAACACCCTCAATCTCCAAACTCAAGTCAAGTAGCATCGTGCAAGTCTCGGAACAATGCCCACGATTGCAATACCACAGTTCATTAACAAAATGACCTCCAAAAGCTTGCTTCACAATGTTGTCTGCCTCTTTACGCTTGCTAATAAAACTTGGGAATAACCATTAGGGACTTTACTTTACACATGTCCCACCAAGCTCAACAAGAAAATCAGCAATGAATGGTTTCAACCACTATTAAGGCTCAATTCAACTCTGGTAAGCCAAAATATGAATCCCCTAGCCTTCATCTAATTTATTATAAAGGAAATGTACTCCTCCATCTGATCTCGACAGGCAGTACCAGCAACGTCAACTTCTTTTACCAGCTTAGCTGTCAACTCGCCTAGAGACTTTTTTTGATAAACTTTAAATTTGGTAAGATCCTGGATGTGTCTGGTAAGAGATAAATCCCGAAGGCCGTTCCCGTCACTATCGGGGGAGATGCCAACAATCTCTCCTTTCTATGAGCACAACTCGGCTAGAGTCTGTTGATTAACAACCTCCTTTCCAATAAATAAGGGATAGTAAGGAATATAATGCCAGACATAGCAGTTGCACATACGGAAATCTGTTGTCCTTGAAATTCTTCCCTGTATGAATGAGTGTCAAATGATCTTGATACTGTGCAGACATTCATGACATGTAAATTCACCTCCTGTTAGGTTCCAATTTAGCAGATGAGGTGCATCATCCTATGAGTGAACCCTGTGTTTTGGATAGCGTGCGGCGACAAATAGCGACGAGAGCCCGCTTCACTGAGACGAAAGGTGAGAAGCAAAGCGCTCACCTTTCTTATGTGAAGTGACAATTTATACAAAAAAATAAAATATTAAATTTATATAACTAAAAACTCAATAACAATATATTAATAAATATATCAATTCAAAAATTAAAAACTCTCGATAAAAAACAGAGCAAAAACAGAGCTGAATGCTACTCTCTGTTGAGTGCTGCTCGATCAAAAAACAGAGCACAAAAAAAGAAGAGAAGAAGAAGAAAAAGGAAGAAAGAAAGAAAGGAGAAAGAAGTAAGAAGACCGAAGAAAGAAGAAGAAAGAAAAAAAAGGCAGAAGAAGACCAGAGGAGAAGAAGAGAAGCGTACCTGGCTAGGTCGACTTGGATGAAAAAGAAAATAGCAGAAAAGGTGAAGAAAAAAGAAGAATCGTTGTGGCTGGGTCGACTTGGAGAAAGAAATCGCTAGTCTGCTCGGCTGCTTGAAGCTTGAAGAAGAAAGAAATCCCTGGAAGCCCTAATCGCGGGTCTATTTCTTTTAATCCCTGCGCTTTTTTTTTATTTTTTAAAAAAGCGACGCAACAGTCGCCTCTCGCTATACAGGCAGAGGCGAGCGCTATTTTGAAAACGCAACGCAACAGAGGAAAAAGGCAGTGCTGGATGCTCGCATCGCTACGCCTCATGCTATTAGCTGAGGCGAGCGCTATTTACAACCCTGAGTGAACCTTCTTCTGTTCTATCCTAGAATCTTTCAAGCAGCCATTTATAGTTGCCCAGTTCCTCTATGCTTATGTTAAGAACCCAAACGGATTCATGTCCCGAAGCTTCCCCAGAGCAAATTCTCGCATTTGTGATGTAATGAAAATTGCTAAACTTCCAAAACAAATGTAAACAACGAACTTGATTTTTTTTAATCAAGTCAATTTATGCACTTGTGTTTATCAATGGAGGATTTATTTCCTCTTTCAGCTTTAACTTCAATGTCCTTGTTGCACCACTAAAGCCGGCTAACAGCGTACGCGTTTCTATCCAAAAATGGTGTAAAGTGTAACATAATCTGGTTCAAAATCATAGAATCTCTAGAAGATAACTCCATATCTCGTCAACGCTGATCCTCTTTTTGCTTTAAATATTCGAAACATAGTGTTCCCTTCCTCAATTTGATGAATGGAGACAAATATGTAGCAAGGCAGCTTGATGTGGTGCGGCAATTTCATTAAAAGAGAAGTATCAAAATCTGAAAATTTTAATGCCTTCTCGATCTCACCCATACGAGCACAACAAACACTCTGGGAAAGCATATATCTACTGGCATTTCGTCAAACAATTTCCTAGCAGTCCCAAGTCCCAACCTCTCCTTATTTGGGATAATGAATTGGTTTTCCAAGATGATGGGCTAAACGCATCACACCCTTCCAGTAGGTTCGTAGTAAAAGTAGTAGCCGTCTTACCGGTATTTTTACCCTCTAACATTAGTTTTGGGATAATGGAAGCAATGACCTCATTCCGCGCGGGTTCCGTAGGTTCAATAGCCAAATCTCAGTAGCAGCGGAGCGCTTCAACTCCAATGTGCTGGACATATAGTTGATTCGTAGAGATCTTTCATCGAATACCTTGTCCTCATATGATTCTATATCAACTAAATCAGATTCCATCACAAAGGTAAAAGATAGTTGCATGTCATTGTGCATCAGTGAACGGCTTGGAGAAGGGAACACCACATTATCAAGTTGAGAAGCACAAGACAAAGCGTTGTCAAATTGGAGGAGCAGTCGATAGAGATTCTCTTGCATCGCCATCATTAATTCAAAGATGGTGTTGAGTTGAGTGTTTATCATGGTAGAAAAGTACAGAGTCATGGAGTATGAGCAATGAAAGTACCAATATGTTGAACTCTAATCACTCTAAACACATTGTAAAGAAGCAACTAAGTTATATTGAAGTTGCAGGATCACTTCATCAAATATATATATATATATATATATATATATATATATATATATATATATATATATATATATATATATATTGAAGCTGCAGGATCAAATACACGGAACAACAGTAAGGAAGTTGCAATAAAAACAGTAACAAGGAAATAAGAGGGTTGAGTGAGAGAAATACGAGGAAGGAGGAGAAGCCAGAGAAGAAGGGAGACGAGGGAATTACAAGACCACTCAATACAATTGCCTCACATGCTCCTAGATATAGGTCCCACTCAAAATTTGCTAACTTTCGCAATGTGTCACCCAACGTGGCCTCTTGGCCATTTTCATTCATAACATAGTTATTAACTGATACAAGGATTTCTATAGCCATCAGATTATTCTCTTCCCTCCTTTACACATAATATAGCAAGCTCTGTCGGGTAAATTTCCAAGTTGGTTGCAAGAAGTGCTCATTGTCATTATATCCATTCCTTTATGAAGTAAATAAACTTTTATATTAATATTGGCATCCAGAAGATGCATCATCATGGAAGTGTTAATGACTCCTATGAAAAGATCAGGGAGCCAATGAAGCACAGAACATATGTTATTAATGTACTTTTAAGATAGAGAAGTGAATTACAACATGCAGAACACAATCCACCAGGGAGAAGAATTAACTAATCATTAGATTACCTTTAAGCAGTTTACATCTTGTCTAAATTATTCAAAAAGACACATCCACTATATAAAGTTTCACGAAGGTACCCTAAAACTTGTAGGGTTCCACAATCCTCGCCCATCTTCCCAAACAAAAAGGAAACAGAAGTCCAAGACCGTTGCGAGTGTCATGTACCATTGCCAGTTGAGAGCACTTTTGGCGCAACAGGGATCTAATTAACCCCCTCAGATGCAGACATATTAAACTGACATCTTTATATCATCAAATTACAGATGAACATGAGCTTCATCAAGAATTGGATTTGCTAGAATTAGATTTAGTTTGTTAAATTCAGAACTCAAAACAAGATTCTAAAGTTTCTTCACTTTTTCACAACAAGATTGAAGGATACATGTGGTGTTATATTCACAAACCAATTGACACCGAACATTAGCAAACTTAAATATACTAAAACTCCAAAGAAGACTACAAAAGTAAGAGAAAGATTTATACAGAGTGAAGGAACAAAACTAATAAAAAAAGAGGAAGGAATTATACGGACTTGGCGAGCAATTCTTCGAGGAGAGACTGTTCGTCGGGAGTCCAATCGACGGCAAGACCTGGATTGTGTCGTAGAGCCGCCTGTGTGGGGCCAACCACAGAATTTTCCGGAACGGAGAGACCATTACTGGCGGCGCCATTCGCATTGCTGGTGCCTTCTTGACCACCACTATTATTGTTATTATTACCCGCCGAGGGGTTCGCGCTCGCAGCCATCAATATTCTACACGCAAATCCAATAAACCCTCTGCCTTCAAAATTCGAAATAATTGCAAAATTGAAATGAGTGGGTAAAATTCGAAGTGAATATAGCTGAATCTACAGCGAGTTTGAAATCCGGGAGCTGGAAGAAACGAGAGAGAGAGAGAGAGAGAGAGAAATGGAGGAGAAAATCTGTACGGAACTGTCTTAAGAGGATTTGGGTACTAATGGACTTGGATAATATGGGGAATCTTTTGTGATTAGATAGTTATTTATTGTCTGATGAGAAAATAAAAAGGATAGTTATTTACTCTAAATTATATTTTATGCTTTTAATCTGAGTTTGCTCACGACGGCTGCGATATTTTAGTAAGTATGTTCCTTCTGGGACTTTTGCACATGTGGTCCTTTTTTTATTAGTAAATAATGATGGTAGTCCTTACAATTTTCAAGAAATCCTATTTGAAATTAACTCAAATGTGTACTTTTGGTCTATGCAAATGAAGCTATGGGGTCAATGAATATTTGAAAACCGACTAAACCAACCGAATCGTACCGCACCGAACCGATTTTCAGGTTTCTTTTAAAGAAACCGTAGGTTTTTATATAAATATATAATCGTACCGATAATTAGGGTAGGTTTTTTATTTTATAAAAATAAACCGGAAAAATACCGAACCGTACCGAATAAATTTTATATGTGGAAAAGATATTTATATAGTAAGTTTAAAACTAATAAAGCATTAAATTTTTCATTGGGTCTTGGAATTATGAAAATTGTTATAAGACAACAAGTAATTAAACTCAAAGTAGTAATTCCTAAAATCTATTATGATACTTATACTTAAACTAAGTTATTTCAAGTATCTTTATTAGCAAAACACAAAGTGTTCTAGCGATTATGAGTAGCAAACTACAATATATTGAATATGTTTCCTTTCATACAATTTTGATTTATCTTTTTGAATATTTAATATAAACTTTATTCTTGAGTCCTGACTTGGTTAATATCTTTCCACTCATGTGATGTTTACCCATCAACCTTGCAGCGAAATCCCTGTTACACACCTCTCTTTCACGGAAAATCTTTTACACACTCAACCTTTCAAAAGTGAGTCTAAGACACACCACTTTTGTGCTTGACCAATTTTTCAGATAACGTAAAATTCACGCCCTAACAGGGTCGCGACACGTGTCATTGACTTTAAAAAGGAAAAAAAATATGAGAAATTAAAATTAAAATTCATCTTCTTCATCTTTCCATTTTCTATCTTAAGCACCATTGTTGCTACCACCATGGTTGTTTGTGAGAAAGTTTCCAACAATACCAAAATTCAACTACACTATCTAAACAACTAGCCAAAAATAATCAAGCAATAAATTGAGTTCAATAACCCAATAATTAACAAGACCCAATTGAATTTTCAAGCTTTTTTCGATACCCCAACAATGGTGGATTCTAGATTTTTTCACCAAACCTTCAATACTAATGTTAAGGCTTTTAAATCTATCACAAATAAATAATTTTCACAATATTTGGACAATAAACCAACCAAATCCGCTCAATTTTAGATCTAAAATCGATATTTTCTTTTAGAAATTCTTTTTGGTGGAAGTAAATGAGGGGGAGGGTGGTGAGGAAGAAGACCAGATGGAGGGGAGGGGGTTCCTGTGGGGAGGGGAGACAAAAAATAGGATTTTTTACGGGTTTCACACGCTTTTTTGTGTGTAAACACGCAAGTGCTATCTGGTCAAAAGTAGTGTGTCTTAGACACACTTTTGAAAGGTTCAGTGTGTAAAAGATTTCCCGTGAAAGAGAGGTGTATAACAGGGATTTCGTTGCAATGTTGATGGGTAAACTATGTATTTTGTTTATATTTTCTTTGCTTTTACTTGCTCTTTTTTACGTTGCTGTCGAATAGTTGATGGATCTATACTCTAGTCATCTTTCATATTTTTTTAGTTCATCACCTTTAAACAGTAAAAATGTTTAGAGAGTTTTGCTAAGTCCTATAAAAGAACATATGTCATTGCATTCTACTTCTACTGGTGAATTTTACATGATATTTAAAAAAATACTGAAAATTAACCGAACCGTACCGATACTGAAGTGAAACCGACATGATTGGGACAATTTCGAAAAGTCTAATTTTTGTTATACATAATAGAATAACTAAAAAATTGGTATGGTACAAATTTTATAAAATAACCGTCCGAACCGAACCATTGACACCCCTAAATGAAGCTTCATCAAGTTTGTGAAGTTACACTTTGGTCCTGAAAATAACAGTAATCTTACTCTGACACCTCTAGTTAGCTTTTTGTACATTATCTTTTTTCCCTTTTTTCCCTTATACCTGATGTAATGCACTTTCGAGAAGACTGAAAATTGAGCCTTTTCTTTCTTTGCATTTTCTCTTTATTTAGTTCTTTTTTTTATTTTCACGACGAGTTCAGCGTCAACAAAAATTCTTACTAGTTATTCAACAGTCTATTCAATCACAGTCTATTCAATCACAAATCCTTATTAGTTAATTTATTACTGTGTATATTAGTAGATATTATTCTAAAGAATTGATCTTTTGACACTTTTGTATCGAAAATTAAATTTTAAAGTTAAAATCTTTTTAAAGTGAAACTTTGTTTTGATATTTTTTTCTTACTAAGTTTACTTTTCAGTTTTTAAAATCTGTTTTATTTCTTCTTCTTTTTTTTTTGGTAACTAAAACTTTTATTACCAAGTAACAAATTTACAAAACTTTTATGTAGCTTGTTCTGGACATACATCCCAGACTAAGCTACTACTTCTTTCTATGCTTTCTATATCCTTATCTATACATTAGTCTAAACAATAGGATATGAATTCAACTCTTTCAACCTTTTCTCTAGACATTTCTTAGCACTTCCGCTGTCATGGATGTCTTATACTAAGCTCCTTGTAATTGCTTCAGCATTGCTTTCAACTTCTTTGAAAATTCTTGAGTCCTTTCGTGCCAAATGTAGTATATGCTTCCAATCAATACCATTCTATATATCTCATCCTTTGCATTTTTTCCACAGCAATATTGCTCAGCCCATTTTAGTTCGTGCTTCCAGTCCATAACTGGCCTATTCATTTTCATCCATCTTAGCATAGCATCCCATATTTTCATTCAGAATGGGCACACAAAGAATAAATGGTCAATATTCTCTACCTCCGCCTTGCACAATGGACATGTCTCATCTTCAACACAGCCCCAAACTTTCAGTCTATCTCTTGTTTGAAGTCGTCTGCGAACTGCCAAGTATCCCACAAAGATCCATTTTGGTAAACCTGCATTTTTCCAAATGATCTTTCGCCATGTCACTTTGTTGTATTCTCCTCTTTTCTTCAGGTACATATCTTTCACTTTGAAGTTCTGCATTCTGAGTACATCTTCTTCTGAATAGCCAGCTTCTTCAAAGTACTTCTTAGCTTTGAAAATTTTCTGGATCACCCATGAAGCCTGCTTAGGTTCAATCCCCCAACCAGGATTGTATTTATTGTAGTAGGCATAAATCCATTGTACCCATAGCTTTTCTTTCTTTTTGCACAGATTCTATAGTAGTTTGCACATTGCAGCCTTGTTCCATGTGCCTATATCCGTCAAGTTCAAACCACCTGCTACCTTTGGGTAACACAGCTTGTCCCATGCTATGAGAGCCTTCTTTGTATTCTCCACATTTCCTGTCCATAGAAACTTCCTGCATATACTCTCAATTAGCTGTATAAGCTTCTTAGGGAGTAAGAAGATTTGAGACCAATATACTTGGATCGAAAATAGTACACTTTTAATAAGTTGCACTCTTCCTGCATACGTTAAGAATTTAGCAGTCCATGTCTTGATTCTCCCTACCATCTTCTTAAGCAAAGGTTGGTACTATATCATTGTCATCCTTTTAGTGCTCAAAGGTACTCCCAAATATCTCACTGGGAGTGTCCCTTTGGTAAATCCCAGCATATTCAAAATCTCTTGTTGAATATCTTCTCGAACCCCACCAAAATATATTGAACTTTTCTCTGTATTTGCAATTAAACCTGAAGCTTGTGAAAACTCTAGGAAACACTGATACAACATCTTCACAGACACATAATCACCTTGGCAGAATAATAAGAGGTCATCAGCAAAGCTAAGCTGAACTATGTTCAACTTAGCACATTTTGGATGAAAGTTAAAATCTGAATTTCTTCTTAGAGTCTTCAGCAACCTTGTAAGATATTCCATAGCCAAAACAAACAGATAGGGAGATAATGGATCGCCTTGCCTCAATCCCTTCCTTGCTTTAAAGGGTACTGAATATTGACCATTGATGACTATGGAATATGATACACTTCTCATGCATATCATAATCCAATTTACAAACTGACCTAGCAATTGTATACTCCTTAACACCTGCTCCATATAATCCCATTCAATAGAATCGTATGCTTTCCTCATATCAACTTTTAACATGCACCTGGGAGATATGCCCTTCCTGTTATACCCTTTGACAAGTTCTTGACTCATCAATATGTTATCATTGATCAATCTCCCTGGTACAAAAGCTGATTGGCTTTCATCTACAATGTCAATCATTACACCCTGCAGTTTGTTTGTTAGTACCTTTGAGATTATCTTGTAGAGAATGGTACAGCAATAAATTGGCCTAAACTCAGCCACCCTAGTTGGATTAGGAACCTTAGGAATTAATGTCACTGTAGTACAGTTGATTGGCTGATATAACATCCCCTTTGAGAAGAACTGCATCACTGCCTCACTGATCTCTTCTCCAACCACCAGCCAAGCCTTCTTGAAAAATAGTGCATTAAATCCATCACATCATGGCGCCTTGTTATCGCTAATTCCCATCAATGCTCTATGTATTTCCTCTTTTGTTACACTTGCTATCAACTGCCTTTGCTGCTGTTTATTGACCATTGGTCCTTCTCTCATTACTGTTGTGTTAATTGTTGGTATCTTCTCTGCTGCTGTACCTAATAGTTGTTTGTAGAAGCTCATTACCTCATCCTCCATCTCCTGCTTTGTTTGTGTCACTGTGCCATTACTTCTTGTCAGCTTTTGTATCTTATTTTGGGAGTTTCTGTTCTTCATACTTGCATAGAAGTAGGCATTGTTTCCATCTCCTAGTTTCAACCATTGTATTCTTGATTTTTGCTTTAAAATGCTCTCTTCCACCCTTAGCCATTTTTCCAGTTGTAACTTTGTCTCTTTTTCAGCTAATGTCATAGTACTTGGTTGGCCTGGCTTTCTCATTTGTTCCTGCAATATACAAAGTTGTTCTCTACATTTTGCAATTCTTCCTCCTACAACATTGTACTCCTCAGCATTTAGCTTCTTCATTGCTATCTTTACTCTTTTCAATTTCTCCCAGACATCTTTCATTTTGTCCCCTGTCCATCCTCCTATCCAAGCTTTATTAACTATCTCTAGGAAATCTTCATGATCAGCAAGATGGTTCAGAAACTTGAAAGGTTTAAGTCCTGATTCTTCTTTGTCTATAAAAGAAATTTTCAAAGGTAAATGGTCCGAGCACCCCGGATCCATTACCCATACCTCTAATGAGGCATTGTCAGCATCCATTTATCATTCACTAAAGCCCTATCAATTCTACTGCTGTTTGTCCAGGTGAATTCTCTACCATTTGTTCTCATTTTAGTCAACATAGCATCATCAACAAAGTTGTTGAAATTCTTCACCGCTCCTTCTTGCACAGGGTTCCCTATTGGTCTATCCTCATTAGACCTTATAGCATTAAAGTCACCCACGATTAACCATGCCTCCTATATATTACTCTTAATTTGCAGTAGGTCCATCCACAATTTCCTTCTATCCTCCACAGTATGCAAGCCATAGACAGTTGTGAAATCAAACTTCATATTCATGTCCTTAACCAGTACATTAGCATGAATAAACTATTCTGATTTTTCCTTTACCACACATTCTACTTCCTTCCCATCCCATACTAGCCATATTCTCCCTTTACTACTAAACTCATAGTTTGCTACCCATTCCTAATCTGTAGTAATTCTCTTCATAGTTTGATTAGCCTTCTATTCTTTCACCTTATGTTCTAGTATTTCCATCATACTTACCTTATTGCTCCTTAAAAACTTCCTAACCTTTTTTTGTCTTGGGATCTTGTTTAGACCCCTAATATTCTATGTAACCAACCTCATAATGGAATAAAAATAGGCTGTGTGTATCCATCCACCTCTTCTAGTTTTCTTTGTCCACTTGTTCCTTCTCCCAATTGCCTTAGATTCATTAGCTGCAAACCAGATTCAGCTAATATATTAAAACCATTTAATATATCTATTGCATCTTCTCCCATTTTCTCCTTGCTCCTACTTATGGATTTCCCTGATACCTTTTTCCATCCCCCTTCCTCACGACACTTAGCCCTTATAGTTGGACTAGTTATTGTATTATTTACATCATCACTTCTTGCCACTTGATCACTCTGTTCATAAGCTGTTATTTGCTGCTCATCCTTATCATTGTTCCTCTCCTTTGGTTGCCATACTTGTCTCTGCTTTTGTTTCTTTGCCTTAGTCTTATGTGGTTGTTGTTCTCCACATCTATGCCCAATTTGTCTACAACTTTGACAAAATTCTGGTACCCAATCATATTCCACGCATTGACTAAATTCCTTCCCTGTTGAATCAGCTACCTTAATGAATTTTGGTAGTTCCTTTGTGACATCCATCTCAATCAACACTCGTGTATAGGTGATTCTGTCCAGCTGGGTAGTACAAGCATCAGCATACATCGGAGTTCCTAATCCACTACTGATCCTGCTCAATGTTCTCATTCCCCAACAATTCAAAGGAAGATTTGGAAATTTCACCCACACAGGAATAGTTTGTAGGACTTCCTTGCTGAAATCAAAATATTTTGTCCAAGGTTTCACGATTATCGGCTTATTCCCCAACATATGAGGTCCAGAATACAATACCTCATCTTTATCCCCCATAGAATTGAATCTAATAATGAAATACCCTTCATTATGATAGTAGACCTTAGGTTTAGCAATGAAGTTCCATTCCGAAGCAATAAATCTCTCCATCGCTCCAATTGTTGGTGTAGTTCCAACAACATAAATGTCACGACCCCAACCCCGATCGTGATGGCGCCCAACACACTGCTAGGCAAGCCCGACCATTTAGACATCCTTAACCAATTAATCACAATGCATAGATAAATTAACATAGCTAAATTACTAAGTCAAATGCTGAAATCCTGAAATAAAGTTAAACATACGGAAAACCCAAAATATAAAATAACTACACAGCCCGTAGAATCCGGTGTCACAAGTCTGAGCCTCTAATACATGAGTATCAACCTACTACATATCATCCTCTAGAAATGCGAAAACAAAATAAATAAGATAGAAGGAAGATCAGGACTGCGGACGTCATGCAGCTACCTTGATACTCCCAGATATGATGCTCGACAGAGAAAAGTCTCACTCAGCTTCAGTGGGTACACCTGAATCTGCACACAAGGTGCAGGGAGTAATGTGAGTACTCCGACCCAGCGAGTAATAAACATAAATAAAGACTAAGAATAAGAAATCTTGAATAGGCACAAAGTAATTCTATAAATACAGCAGCTTGAACCCAGTAGCATAAAATCAGTAAAACAGTGAAAACAATTATAGAAATATCACAGCAGATAAAGGAATAAATGACAATTAAGAATATACAATGCAACACATAGACTGGTACTCTCCAGTACCCGCTGCGGCGTGCAGCCCGCTCCATTTATTTATCGTCGACGGTGCTCACTAGGGGTGTGCAGACTCCGGAAGGGGCCCCTTATGGCCCAAGCGCAATAATAAGCCATATCGTGGCATCAACTAGGCCGTCGGCCTCATATCAATATCAATATCATACCGCTGCGGCGAGCAACCCGATCCCATACTCACTCCAAAACCACATAAGCCTCTCGGGCACATTGACATAGAAATACTTAGCTCAAACTTCATTTAAAAATATTAATTAAGTCTCTAGTTTGAAAAAAAGTGGCTGAGTTTGCAAAACAGTATTTAATTTCTAGGACTGAGTTCAATGATATGTAGAAATGGTAAGAAATCAATAATAACAGTCTCTGAAGGATTTAATCAATTGGCACGGAGCCCAAATATAGCAATCAGCTCAACTAAAATAATAATAAATAAATTTCAATCAAATACGCAGTATATTCATCTACCGGGATGGACCAAGTCACAATCCCCAACGGTGCTCTACCCCACGCTCGCTACCCGGCGTGCAAGTCACCTCAATATAGCACTACGATGTGCAAACACGGGGTTTCAAACCCTTAGAACAGCATTTACATCTATTACTCACCTCAAGCCGGCCAAAATCCTAGCTCGTTATGCCCTTGCCTTTCGAATTGACCTCCTCGTGCACCGAATCTGATCACAACCACAACGAATACATCACAATATGCCAATGGGACAATACCCAGTTGAAAATAATCGAAGAATAGCGAAAATCTCGAAATTAGCAAAACCCGAGCCACGGGCCCACTTCTCGAAAATCAGAAAATTTACCATCAACGGATTCCTTATCTCGCCACGAGTCTATACATATAAAGAACACCAAAATCGGAGTCCAAATGACCCCTCAAATCCCCATTTTAACTCTCCTAAGTTTCAAGCCCTAATCACCATTTTTGTCTATTAATTCCTTGAGTTTTCAGCTCTAATCTATGTATTTACACCAAAAAATCGTGTTTTAGACTCAGAAATCCTTATCTCAAAGAAGCCCCTTGATTTCTCTCTTCCAACTCGCCCAAATCTCCAAGTCCGAAGTGAAAATTATGAAACCCTTTGAAATTTTGCGAAGGAGAAGTAAAACATCACTGACCAGTTATTTCCGCATCTGCGGTCAAGCTGGCACTTCTGCGGAATTGACCGCTTCTGCGATCACCAATCCGCTCCTGCGGCCACCGCTTCTGCGGATCAAGCTTCGCATTTGCGGATTCCTTTAAGATCTCCAAACTCCGCATCTGCGGTCGCTTTGTCGCATCTGCGACTCCGCAGATGCAGTCAGCCAATCCGCTTTTGGGATCCCTGCTGCTTCTGCGGCTAACATCTCGCTTCTGCGGTACCGCTTCTGCGGTCCCATTTCCGCAGAAGCGAAAATACCAGAAGTAGCTGCAATTTTCTTAAGTTCTCAAACCAAAACTCCCTGTTAACCATCCGAAATCACCCCGAGGCCCCCGGGACCTCAGCCAAGAGCACCAACACCTCCTATAATATCATTCAAACTTGTTCCAATCAAAAAAAACACCTCAAACAACACTAAAACCATCATTTCTCATCGAATTCAAGCCTAAGTTCTTTAAAAACTTCCGAAATACGCATTCGATCAAAAACCTAACCAAATCACCTCCGAATGACCTGAAATTTTGCACACACATCCCAAATCACATAACGAAGCTACAACCACTCTCAGAATTTCATTCCGACCCTCGGATCAAAATCTCACCTATCAACCGGAATTCGCCAAAATACTAACTTCGTCAATTCAAGCCTAATTCTACACTGGACCTCCAAAATTACTTCCGATCACACTCCTAAGTCACAAATCATCCCCCGAAGCTAACCGAATCATCGGAGTTCATTTCCGAGCCCTCTAACATCGTCTGGTTGACTTTTCCAAAACAAACCTTCCTTAAAGAGACTAAGTGTCTCATTTCCTTCTAGAACCAATCCAAATCAACTCGTTCACACTCAACACTGATAATGAAGCATAAGAAATAGAAAATGGGGAAAACGGAGAGGTTCTCATGAGACGACAGGTCGGGTCGTCACATCCTCCCCAACTTAAACAAACGCTCGCCCTCAAGCATACCCAGAGTTGTCCTAGAAGCCAACCAATAGCTGAATGACCTTACCAAGCATATACCCGGGGGTGATCCCCCGTCACCCTATCTCACATAGGTCCAGTAACACATTGTAACTGCAATTTTGTAATCCAATCTAGCCCATAAACCTTAGAACCACATTTCCATTTCCGAGATCATACATAAGTTTAGAACCTCCTATCTATATTCAGAACAAGCCCGAACCAGCTGTAATAACCCAAACCTGCAACTCCAGGTGCAATCATATGATATACTACATAATCCAAACACTCGAAACGATAACTTCTATTCAGAGCAGTTGCCCACAACACCCGAATACCGGTAGAAAACCTCTTATCAACTAAGGTCTTATTCCAACACTTTCATATACTGCTAACGATAAATGAAACACGCAATAAACCGTAACCCCTTCTCAGATCAACCATTCATGAAGCCACTTCCCCTTTGACTAATACCACAACAGATTCCGAGCCGAACCTCGATATTATCCTTCCAACAAGCTGAAATCAAATCCGTTCGTATTCATTAGTGACCCCAACGATCACCTCAAATCCAACACACCACTCTGGTGATATGACACCTCAATACAGGCCTAAGCCACAACTTGCATAATACGCGCACCAATAAGAAAACGGTCTGAACATACTCAATTCATAAAAAAAAATGACTCAAACGAAAGAGTTGTACCTCAAGCTCATCAGTAC